CATTTCTGTCTCTTAGGTTCACAGTTCTTGAGGTAGTCAAAATAGCGAGCCTTGGGCAGTGTTCTGTCAGCTACCTCCTTTCTTGGCCCACAACTTGCCTCCAAGGAAAGGCCATATATCACTTTCCCAGAAATTATCGCCAGCAAATGTTCGATCTTCCACCCACCTGTTTCCAAGGAAAAGCCATGCCACCCTGAGCATAGTGTCGCACTAGACAAAGTGACAAGAGTTGCTTATGTCATTCTCAAATACTATCCTCCTCCACATTATATAAATTTTCCGTCCAGCAATCATTACAAAAAAAACATATTCATCTACAATCTGTTAAAAGTGAATTTTACCATATTCAAAATCAAATCTATAAAACATCGATTTGGCTACATCGCTCCATGGCCCAATGGAAACTCTAAATGTGCATGAAAAATGTAATTTAATTAAAATGTCAAATCAAAGATCCCGACATGGGTCCCGCTTCGGAAAAATGAATATGGTGAAATACAGTGTTCAATTGATACTTGGTTCAGGGTATTATTTCACAAAAAGAAATGGGAGCAATTTCAGAAAAGTTTCAACCTTATGTGCAATACTACACAAAACTAAATCACATAAATTTCAATTTGGTACGTTGACCTAGGTCATATACATAGTATAAAAGTATAAATTACACACATTGTATGAAAATATAAATAAGTTTGAGATAGGCATGGCTTCTGATCACTGATGTTGGTTCCTCCCTAAGAGTGAGTTTGCATGTTGTCCCGGTCCTGATCCTATTCAATATATGTTGAGCCTGCGACTCTGCTGTCCTTCAGTCTTCTGTCCTTTATCCAACTTCCAGCCCCTCTTCTGCCTTTACTTTGATCATCCCCCAAGAACCGTTTCCCTTAATAACCAAAGTGCACTGGTGCTTTTCTACCTCTTTGGGGTCTCCTTAAACGACTATGTCAATATTACCCCTATCCTGCATTTGTGTGCTCGACCCATCACTAACAGCGTCAATATGAATTAAGTTCTCCATGGTAAACTTAACAGCAGGTTTGGTTTTGTCTGCAGGTCTACTTGATTTTTCCATTAACTGGGTCTTTAAGCCGAGAAGCACCCCAATCTCATACCACTTCTATCTTCAAATGCTCCTCTCCATTTTGTCTACTGATTTCTGCTGATACCTTGCTCAAACATTTCTTACTTTACAAACACAAATGTACCCACTTTAAGTTTAACACCATGGCATCTTAATTTTTTTCTAAGCTAGGTAGTTTTCAGTCAAGCTTCTGTCATTTCTTTAATAATTCCATGCACCTTTGTCTCATCATCACTAGGCTTCAATTTAGAGTGAGTGACTACATCCTGCTAAACTGAGTGGTGTTTTCCCAAACATTGCCCACCACAAACTTACTCCATGAGTAGCCATATTCAAACACCTTTCAGTGTGCACGAGCAACTATGAGATTGTCCTTTCCTCATAGTTAAGCAGGCCCTCATTATCTGCTTAATAGTTCCATGTACAACCAACAATAAAAACAATGTTGCTTTGCCAACGTTCAAACAATCTGGGCACAGATATGAACGGGGGGGAGGGGAGAGGATGGTGATCTGGATTTGCTGGGCAAAGCAAGCAATGAGGGTTCTGTTATGTTTCAGTCCAACCTTTCAAGGGTAGCATCCGCACTCTCCCTCCCCATTCTCTCTCTCACACACAGTGTGTGTAATATTTGTGTGTGAATATTCGAGTGTGTGTAATAATTGTGTGTGTGAATATTGAGTGTATAATATTTGTGAGTGAAGATTGTACTCTCAAATAGTGCCTCTTAAGCTACTAAACTCTAATAAATGGCTTTGACCACAAAATTTCGAAGGTAATAGGGTGTAAAGGTTTAGGTATTGATTCCCTTGTTTTCCTTTTCTTTCGTCTGGGTGCCTCCTATGAACCACGACCTCCAGTCGCATCCATGATTCACGATGCACGGTTTGGTTGGAGTCAGCTTGAGTGTGGTGGGCTACTTGGCTCTGCCTCTCACAATCATATATATATACATAAGGAGTATTTATATTTCTTAAATCAGCCAACCTAATTTAATAAATTGTTCCTAAAACTGTTGGTAATAATTAAAAAATGTGAAATGAAATGCTGAATGTATGCAGCGGTGTATTGTTATATTGATGGTGGGTATAAAGGATGTAGGTGCTGCGAAAGTTATACTATTAACTTATCATTTAGAGTCAAATTATTAGATGACAGTCTTTAGACCTGGGCAGATTGTTCAAGCGTGTTCATTTACCGTTAGTCTAGCTTCACGCTACCCAAGGCTAAGGGAATATTGACTCTACCTATTCTTAAGCCTTTATTTGTCGTTTCAGCAGCCAGTGTCCAACGCCGTGTCGGTTTTCCCCCTCCAATCTATTAAGAAACCCATTACTTTCTTTATCTTTTGTTTAATCCGTCTTTAACATAATCATTGTTATTTTTGGTAGTGAAATAATTGTAAATATTTTGAAAATA